GTAGTATAGCGTTGAGAAGAGAATTCTGGAAAATTAAACTAATCTGTGCTTATACGAAGGGAAATTTTGTGTGATCTGTTAGATCTTTACAAAAAGGAGCGTTCGTTTGAATATAGCACAACAATTTCGAGTTAGTGCATTTCTGTTTAGTGCTGAATTATTGAGTGAGTCTCTCGGTGCGATGTTTCGACTTGAAAAAACCGAACAGCAATTATCCTCGGAAGTTAAATGTCTACACCTGCTCTGAGACAATTTTTTTTCGGGCCTCAAAAAAAGACAGTGTACAACCTTCCTTTTTTACCAAAAATCCACTGCACCAAAATTTCTCGGGAAAACACTTTTTCTTATTAATTTTGGTACGTAGAATCCAAATCAATTCGTACTTTTTCGATTAGACTTCTCAATCAAAAGTTATAGACTAGAAACCAATTTCGAAAGAAAATTCAAAGGGCTGTTCCGGGTCGATCTGAGACAATTCTTTTTTCGGGCCTAAATGAGTGTACTTCTTCTTTGTCGAATTTTGAAACGTGATTTCTCATGATCCATAGTTATATGTATCATTAAGTGGTAAATACTCTAAATCTCCGAGCGACCATCCCCGAGCGCTAATGGGGATTCAAATTAAAGTTCAGTGCGCGCAATGCAAATTTGCATTCGCTATCGGTTTTCGAAAAAAAAACACTGTTTAGATATACACCGAATCGTTAATTACAATTTCGAGAGGCAATCACATCTGTTCGCAATAGCGCACAATCGGGTCAAAATAAAATCAGCTTTAAACTCGCGAACACTGGTTGAACCTGCCAATAAAGCTGTCCTCTGTAACAGTGACACGGTAATACATGGCCGGACATTCATCACGACCCACCAGGAAGGGGCGAACGGTGAAATGAAATGAGCAATAAATAAAAAGCTGTAAAGTCCGCCCTGTGGTCATCTATCAGCGTGCGGTCGTAGCCAACTTCGACCGGCATATGTGCACTGCACGTACCACAAATGTCCGCACGGCGCTCTTATTTATTGAAACCGCGAAATTTCGATTAAAGTGATTTCAATTTTGCGAATTTTTATGCTTTTTGTTCGGTCTGAATGCTCCCCGATTGCTTAGGTGGAATGAAACCCGATCCTAATTTATCGTTATTCAATTTTATCTGTATCCGAGCGGCCGATATACCATGTCTGCCCTAAATATATTCGTACGCAAAATAGCTTTTTTAAAGCTTTCCGAATGCGGGGGCTGAAGTACTTAATTCGTAATAATAAACACATACATCACGCTATACAAAGATTACTCGCAATTTCAATTGGCACTTTACAATCGGATAGTAGCAACGCTCATTTTTATCGTTTTAAAACACATTAGCACCAATACATTGTCGGAATCAGGTACATACATCTATCGGAACTATAAGTATCCATTTGTTTCCATCCTCCCTTCAAGAAAATCGATACGTTTGAATCTTGCAGTTAAGTCATGTTTAAAATTCGACGATCAACTATTTCAAGCGTGAGCTTTCAGCATGGTTCCAGTGGAAACAGTTGAAAAAAAACCACTCCACTGAAGTTTAAAATTATGGGACTATGGGAGTTATTCCCATTGGAAACTGTCACTTTCCAGCACTAACTTTATGAACCAATCAACAATAAAATTCATTTGCAATTGCTCATGAAAAAACCTCAGATACGTCGCTTAATACATACTTACTTATTGTAGGTCATTTTGTACAATAATGTTAAAATATTATTACAGTGTAACGATTGTAACATTACAAGCTATCTTGATTTTACAATCAAACAAATTTTTTTCTTTCAAATTTTCCCTTTAATATTTCTGTAGGTGATTACCGGAGTACAAACATAACGTTTATGCCTCAAGGATCACAATAGTACAGGCAATATGGGTCTTAGGGTAGAACAAATTAGGGACAAGTTAATTATTTTTTTAATGTGCAGGAAAGATCTTTCTTATTAACATACTAAAAGTCCCATTCAATCCCACTGTGGCAAATATAAGCAAAAAATCTGCCATCTTTTTTTTTTAATTTTTAGACAATAACTTATTTATTTATCTAGTTACCAAAAATTATGTGGAGATCGATGGCCTCCTTGTTTACCAGTTTTAACCTCTCTGGATTTATTTCTTTGGAGTTGTGTAAAATATGAACATTTATAAACGTCAATACAAGAACGTCATAGATCTAGAATTCAATTCAATTGGCATTTCAAGTGGTAACCAAAGCTTCCAATTCAGTGGTAAAAAGATCTCAAAAATGTACTGAAGAAAATGGACTCGTTTTTTAACATCTTTAACATATATCTATTGTAACTACCGTAAGTTATTTTTATGTTACTTATTTCACCTATTATTTATTCTTGTTTTTTTAACAACATAAATCCTATTTCCAATTATTGTTTTGCAATGTCCCCTGTCCGAAATAATGTAGCCAAATTTTAATAACTTAACTTTCCTATTAACTGCATACCTAATTCTTACGTTGCTACTCACTCATACATTCTTCGATTCACACTGCTCACTTTCTTCCAATGAACCAATTCACCATTCGTCCCCACTCATTATTAGTTTTTATTAACAAGACGATAAAGGGATATTTTAACCATTGAGTGTAAGATGTTAATTGCGCAGCTACGAGTGACGCCACTCGTGAATTAACTTTCACGAGATGGTTAGTTTCCCTTTATCGTCGTGTATAAATACAAAACATTATTTTATAGCATTTATTACACTTCTTGTTCTTCACTCATGTTTTATTCACGCCCAGTTTGCACTTATTTTTTAACATCCCAAATGTTTTTCACGATTCCTTTGCTCCTCCTTTGTCCGTTCTGCTACTGTTCCTTCATGCTTCTTCTTTCCTTCACTCTTTATTTCTTCACACCCCGTTTGCCCTTATTTTTCAACATTATTCACATCTCTAATGTGTACTTCGCGGTTCCTTTATTCCTCCGCTGTCGTTTCTGCAGACCCCTTTTGCTCCTTTTCTTCACTTCTCGTTAAGTTAACTGCGTGTTCAAGCAAATGCATACAGCGCTTAAGAAAAAGACCGTTCACATAGGATAGGATTAAGGGTTTATTTGTTCAAGACTCAAAAACGGCAGGTTAAACTCAATTCACTTTCGAAGTAGTACAATTTTACATAAAAACCTGCCATTTAAGATCATTTTTCCATGTTACTGGTCATGGGAATTGCGCAAAAAAAATGTTTCATCAAATAATAGAGCTGATTAACTTTTGGCCCCGTTAGAATAATGTTACTTGTCGGATAGTGAAATTTTTATTGAATCGGACTCAAACTGAATAGACGTAAGGGAGTAGGTAAGTGATGTTGCAATTGTCATCCATCGGAAAGTCTTTTCGACGTGTCTAGTAACATCCCTCGCAGTAAGCTCCCTTTAGGAACTTCGCCTCAAGGAAATTTAGTCACGGAAAATGTGCATCAACGGAAGAACCGTTCACCCCCAAAAAAATTGTCCCGGAATTTAGCCCCGGAGTTTTCTTAATCTCAAGCCCAAGCTACTCTAATGACCATTGAACTTGGAGTTTATGACGAGCAAGGGAACCGCATCTGAACTTTTCTTTGAGAGCGAATTCTCTGGACATCATATTTTCTGGGTCGAATCTCTCTGAATATTTTTGGGTTGAGTATTTCAGGAAGAATTCACCTGGAAGTAAACTTTCTTGGGCGAATAGTGCATTTACCGTGGACAGTCACAGGAATATAGTGGAACTTTTTGAAACGTAATTTTCCTTTGAAGCCAGTTCTACCAATACATCATCATAATTTTTATATCTTGAACATTAATTTCCGCATTTATAATTGTATCAAATTCAGAAAACTGTATATTGTTAAACAGAAAATTACAATACCTTTCAAACCCGGCCCCCTTTTAGTTTAAAATTTTCGAGGAAGTGTTTTTAATTTAGAAGGAGTAATATTTTCATACTATAAAAAGTCTAATTCAGAGTAAAAATCGAGATGTATAGCAGTAGATGCAGTATATTCCCAAAATTTACTAAATTTTATTTTATAGCAGATGTTAAATTGACATAGGTTTGAATGAGTAGTTAAGTCTCTCTTTAGCACTAACAGTGGTTAAAGTGACCGCAAGGGTAGATAAAGTGAAACAAATTATCTAATGACAACTGTAATTCTTATTAAAAATAGGACGCGGCGCACGAAATACACGGAAGTTCAGAACAAAAACAATACTGTTTCCGTGGAGAAGACGGAAGGATCCAATCATACTATTTTTGACGTCTAAATTACTTGCATTCTGCTTCAGAAGTTTCCGTCCGTTTCCTATACACCCCACCGCCCATACGGTTTGAGGTTGCATGAAATATAGTAGCTGAAAAATGGTTAAGGTCTATAAATGAAGGTTCTGGCTTTACTAAGTGGTTAGTAGAAACACTTCGGAAAAAGTGTTGGGTATAAATGGATGTTTGACTATTTAGTAAATACTTTTAATAGTTTCAGTGCAAATTTTCTGAAAAATACAAGTTCGTGATGAATCATCAAGGGAGCACTTAATATTTTTATTAAAGAAGTTAAGGTGAACTAAAAGAGGGTAATTTTTAATTAACAATATAATAAAAGCATGTCAAGATTCCGTATATACAAAAACTAATATCTTAAGCTGCAACTGTAAAATTTCGATTTGCATAAAGAAATGGGGTAGCAGCGGTGTTCTTTTGTTTTTGCACTACATAAAACACAATATTGTCTAAGGTCTGGAGAGCTTCATGAATACATTCATGAACTTGCAGAAGTACATATTACAAAGACCGCCGCTGCAATTTTGTTATTACTAATATAAAGAGGCGAATACAAAACATTCGTAACTACTTTCATGTTTTTAAGACCGTCCCGAGATTGGGTTAATGATAGCAGCAAGAGTGTATAATTTTGCTCGAGGTCTAATAAAATATATGTAGATTTTGTTATGGTTATTAAATTGAGTTGCTAATTCGTTCGTTTCAGGGACCTGAAAATGGAAAATATAATGATCAATTCGATCCGTACGCAAATTAAAATAGTAGACTTTGGTTTGAGTAACATCTACCATCCAAACAGTCCGTTGCACACCCACTGTGGCTCCCCTGAATACGCAGCTCCAGAGCTATTTGTTCCTTCAAAATGTTACGGACCCGAGGTGGATCTGTGGAGCTTGTAAGTAACTATGCAAGATGTCGATTCTACGGTGTGTTTTAGGGGGGTTATCTTATTTGGTATGGTCGCCGGTCAGTTGCCTTTTGTTGCAGTACACGAAGAGAACGTAACATCGCAGGAACGTCGTAAAAAGCTATTGATGCAAATCAATAAAGGGTATTGCAATGTTCAACGAAAGATATTATCACTGGTTTCTGCAGAATTTAGATCTTTGGTAGCGCGATTGCTAGTGGCCGACGCTCTAAAGCGTATTTCAATTCAAGAACTACTAAATCATACTTGGGTAACTGATAAAGGTAGAAAGTCTGTTATCGTAGACCCATTTGAGCCTCTAGACGAACAGTGGAACGTCTCGGCATGTTCATGTCAACTTCTCATACGTTAAGTTAACGGTTTTGCATTCGCAGGTGATGAAGAAAGTGGGAAGTATTCTGCAGATCGAATGGAGAACTGTGAAATATGCAATTAACTCAGAACCTTATGGGGACATCGCGGGTACTTACAACATATTCGTCCACAAGTTATATTCGGATAGATTAGAAGGCGATGGTATCACCAAAACATTTTTTCCGCCAGTCTACGCTTACGGATCTCCCATTCGTAGTGCTAGTCCTCGTGCAGGAGGAAATAGTGCGAAAAAGCGTGCAGAAAGAATTAAGTCCCCTTCAGTGCACAAGCTTCAAAGAATATCGCGAGAAAATTCTCCTCTCAATGGACTAGTGAACCCCCCGCCAGTGGACAAGCGTCCCCAAACATCGACCGGAGGATACCAACTGAGGAAAACGCCTGTCGCAGAACACCACCAAATGCTAACCGCCGATGCCCGAAATCGTATGGAGATAGAAGCAGATTTAAAATGTGCAACGCGCCATTGGTTCTCTCCAACCCAGAAAACAACACTTAAAACCTTGCTCAACAACCCGTTGAACGCACAGCGTTTATCACCGGGCTTTCCGATCAGAGACCAGACCCAATTAAACCGTACAAATTCAAAGAATGATCTACGCCCGAGAGGAATTTCGAAAACGGTGAAGAAAAGCTCCAATCAAGAAAATCGTGATTTCATGTAAGTGCACACTAGATTGCGTAAAACACATTTGCTTTCACTTCAGAAATAATTTTCAAGCGGAGAACGTGCCACCGACAAGGCTGCGTAATAAGTCGAGCAGTCACGCTTCCAGCAAACGTTCTGTATCCACCTCCACTCCCACCAAGGGAAGCAGGTAAAGATAAATGTATACATAGTTTTTACTTGTGAAGAGTGAAGGTTAGGGTCATAACAGTAATGGGAACGTCCAGCGATCCTAAACCAAGTTCAGCCTTGGTTGGTCAAAAAAATCCACCCGTGCGAAGTCGACGTGTCGTAACGTCCAAACCGGTGCAGAGCGTCGGCCGAGCCCAGTACGAAGAGGGTGATAAATACAAGCCACGGCCTTATTCTACCGATTCCTGTAAGTTGCCTACTGCATTCACTATAGGCCACCATTTGCAATTTCAGGCAAGCATTATTCGACACCTCAACGGAATATCTTCACTGATCCTATTGCCAGATCGATAGCAGGGTACCTTGCCAAGAATATGCCAAATAATGCTTATTCGGTAAGTCGGGAGCTTTTAAGTTATATAACGATTAGTAATGCATGGTTCCAGGCGATGCAAAGATCACCAAAGACACGTACTACTAATACACCAAATGCATTTATACAATAAACGATGTTTGGTCTAATAAATATATTCTAAATTTGTAATACATTTTTATTATTCAGTCTACAGACTGACACTCATAACTAATTTAGCACGTACATTTCGTTCACCTCGCTTCTTATCCATTTTCTGCAGTTCTCCATCATTATTTTTTAACCGTATAGGAGCGGGATTAAGAATACTCCTATCGCAGATGGCACTGCGTGTCGTAAAAGGCGACTAAACAACTGTACGTCGGTCGTAACTCTAAGGGCCAATTGCACCGTCAAAATTAAGTATACCTTAAAGTAAAGCATAACTTAAATACCATAGCAACGATTGTCTTAATACTCGTTGACATAGATTTTAAGTTCAACTTAACAGTAAGCAAGGCTTAATTTTGTTGGTGCAACTGGGGCTGAGTGATCGTGAGAAACGTGGAAGGCGAATGGTTTGTCTTGAACTTTTACTAACTTCTTAATCGACATAATAAAGTATTAGTTGAAAGGGTAGGTCTGAGTTTAGATCTTTCCTAGTACGAAATTTGATTTGTATGAACTTTAAATATAAATAAATACTTAATATTTAACAAAGTTTTTTTAATTACTCATTACTTTATATTCAAAAGGCGGTTCCATACCAATTAAGATATTAATTAATCAAGGATCGTAGTGTTCCACCTTAAAAAACAGATTTTAAATCTGCTCATTTTCAGTCTACACCCATACCTAATGATGTGGATGTGTAATGCCAATTTCCAAACATTGTTCATATTTGAACATATTTTATTTACTAATTTCGCTGAGAAAACGGAAAAGCCCACTGATGAACAACCAACAAATTCATTATATTGTGGAAAAACTTCATTTATTATTCATTGTAGTAAGGAATATTTGCTAGTGCATTGCAAAAGTTGACACTGTGCGTACGGTAAAATTTTATTTTGCACATACCCATACGTGAAGAAAAATTTGATATACACTGTGTCAAACATGCGCAATTATTTATTTGAACGGATACAAAAAATTTTAAAAAAATACTTTCTCATTTCCACTTTTTAAACTCTACAAAGAATTTTAATTAAAAGATCATCATCAACTTTATTTTTTTATATTGCTTGTAAAAGGTACATACTCTATTGAGTAGCATTTTTACTACGAATATCACGATGTACGGCACGCAAAAAAAACAAAAGTTGGAAACTGTTGGTTTCAACAAGATGGTGCACCCGCGCACAACGCCCCAATCATGTGAGAATACCTATCGAAAAATTTTTCATTTTCCACGAAATTTGCCTGACAGGAATTCTCGCGCGATTTTTTTTGTACAAATCATTTTTCGGAAGTCATCGGAATTTTCTGGTTTTCTTTACAGCATGAGAATTACTCTTTAATTGCGCAACTTTTCCCTAACTTGACTGTCTTCGTATGTTCTGAGACCCCCTTGATAGACACTTTTACCTCGGATATTAAGAACTAGCACATGAGCTGTACAGGGTGGTTCAATTTCGTAGCTCACCATTGGGATATCCGTAACGGTGAGAGATACAATGTAGGGTAAAGGGGGCAAGGTTGCTCCTTTTTGTAACTATAAAAAAAGCGTTTTGACATTTTTGAAAAATATTTTAAAATGTCAAATCTAGTTTTTATTTTCCCGTTGGCACTTTCCATGGGCACTTTTTTTTCGGAGAATCTAAATCTGTTATCATAATTTCCATATCTTCTTATTTCTTATGGGCACCATAATATTGGATTTTTACGGACTTTTCGCGTACAAGAAGAGGTAGAATAATCGTTTCACATGATTTAGATGCCGAATTTATATCTCTATAACTTTTAATTGAAGTATTTTTGCGTAAAATAATTAGGAAACATTTGCGCAAAGAAAATGTAATTTCCCATGTTAAACGCCTATGTTCCACTTTTCGATTTACACCCTGTACAAAACGCAAACAATATAGTGCATGTTTCATTTTGCGGTGACTTTATTTTTTTGCTAAAAAATGTAATGGATTGGATGATTCTAGAATTGGGTATTTAAATTTTAATTATGACGTCAAAAATGAACAGCGACCGTTGTGTTTATTTAAAAGATTTAACTTTCCATTTAATGTATTCGTGACTAAATGATAAGAAGGTCGTGCCGACGTTGATCTCTATACCTGTTATCGCTTCACCTACCTAATAATTTGTTACTCAGTAGTTGGCGAAAAGTTAAACGGTGCGGTGGGTATAGTGCCATTCCAGTGGTAAATTTCCTTAGAAAGACTGAAAAAATACGGCTAATGGTGAGTTTTTAAGTTTGTTTAATTAATGTAAACTCACTAAATCCTAAACGAAAACCAAACATTTTTATAAAATGCGAAAATGGAATTACATTCCCTATTTAAATACAATTTTGGTTTTTGAACTCGTGTGCTAGGACCCTGGTCATAGCACCGTTTCTAAGACGTTAGAATCCTAGGTGACGTAAAAACCCAAAAAGGGTACTTAATTATTATCGATCATACGATTAAATTAAAACCCCCTCGTAAATGTATTGCAATATGTGTACTACCTACAGACAATAAGGCGTTGGTAATAAACAGATAAACCGTGGAAGTAAACTATCCAAAATGATGACAGCTATTTTAATCACTATGGTTCCATTGCATACAAATCAAAAATTCCGCATTTTTTACGTAACTTTGGCCAACTAGTATTTCGCATAAAAGAATGTTTACCCCCGCACGTTAGTAAGGGATGTATTGCATTGGGGTAAACAATGACTCCTCACTTTTTTTACGGATATACCTATACGTTTTGAAACACCAGGAATCCGAATCAAACCAAACCTCGATGATGTCACTCGGTCTGTGTGTCTGTACTTTTTAAAGAAAAAGATGATCACGAATCCGAATCTCGAACATCGTTAACAACTGCCAGTACAGTTTTAGATCAAACAAGTCTACTACAGAAGTGTTAGTAGGTAGGTAATTCAATTGGATAATGTAGTTAATGCGTTTAACAACAGTTTATAATTATAGGCTTTCTATTGTGCTGATGTATTTTAATTAATAAATTAAAGGTACGTATACAACTTCAACGACAGTTGTTAGAATTACTTATTTATAAGTAACGCAAATGGTCACCTATAAAAGAGCGCGATCAACTAACGTAATCATCAATATCGGAATCCCACATGGATCTACCTTGGGTCCGTTATTGTTTTTAGTTTAGGTAAATAATGTACCATCGGTTCGTCTATCGCCAATGTATCGTATGTGCCGATGTACAACAATAACACGGCGGCAAACCTTGAAGAGGGTAAAATACAACTTAATAATTTATTAGAACTATCCAAGGAATGATTTAAACTAATTAAATTAAATTGAAAGTTTAATTTTTTCGTTAAAAAGACCAAATATCTTAAAGATCCAATAGCCAATCAAATTTGTTGGTTTTTTATCTCGACTATACGATAACATGATCCGTCCTCAAAATTAAACCGCATATCTACAATTGCATCAATACAGGATCCAGCAACAGTGCATCGGTCTTCTCTAGCTCATACCTGGTAAAAAACATAAAAATCCCTTTGTGCATACTCTGTACATTTTTAATTACTTCGATGTCATTTGTTAACCTCTACATTGAAACCTATTCACTTTTTGATTTTTTTTCAATGTGGCCATCTTATTAATTTTTTTCTGAATAATTCCCCATAAGCAAGCCTCACCTTAATGAATCGTGGGGACCTTATTTTTGAAGTTATTAAGAAATAAATTTGAGCAATACTGTTGTATCCGAGTAAAGGACAACACTTTGGTAATAGGAAATTTGAATTTAGTGATACATGGTGTTCACAATGAAATCGTCAATTTTCCGAGTTTTTTTTCAAATGGAATTACCACCAATTTACTATCCGATAGTCTTTTGTGTTCTCTTCCTATTACTCTACCTATTAATCAATTACGCGTTTATACAACGAAATAACCCGTGGTAATAAAAAAAATACCCGTAAGTAAACAAGTGTCACAAATTAATTATTTGCTGCAAGTGTACTCAGTATTTCGTAGACTAATTAAAAAGACTATTTCAACTCTTTTGAAATTCACGTTTTTAATTAATTTTATTTTACTACCAAATAAGTAGGTATGTAGCACATTTGCAGCAAATAAGTAATTTGCGTCACTTATTTACCTTTGTTTTTTATTAGCACGAACAACTATAAGTAACCTAAAAATATTTAAATATTTATTAATTATTATTATTTACTCGGATTAACTCCAATTTATTTCTTACCTTCAAAAAACGATTCATCATTTGTGAAATTGTTCGAAAATAAATTAATAGGATACTTTGATACTTTGATAAAAAATCAAAAAGTGAATAACTAGGTTTCAATGTAGAGGTAACAAATGAAAAATATTCAGGGTGTTCTATTTTAAAGAATCAGGTATTTGTTGACACCGTAAAAATCGGACACCTTGTACATTCAAAAATAATGAACCATCTATAGTTGATTTATTGATCTTAAAAAAGCACTTTCCTGTTTGTTAATTTATTGCAATTTAACTACCCTACACGGTTCGACGCGCCCGTCCTCGGTACCCCCCCCCCGGGCCGCGGCAGCGTCCGCGTGTCTGTGACCGTCCGTCCTCCGGAGGGTGTTTTATGGGGAAAAATGGGAAAATTCTTTCTTTTTTGCGGGTAAAAAAGTTGCCTTATTTGCTTATTGTATTATGAATTTATACACAGCGGAAATTAAATATAAATACCATTCAGATTTGTTGTTAATTGGTTGTAATAAATAACTCACACAGGGACGTAGGAGTCGGAGGGAGTCAGTTGCCACCCCCTCCATATTTTATACTGGGGGAGCAAAGGCTGTATTTCCCCCTCCCTTTCCCATCATATTTTTTTAAATTTACATGCAAAATTATCTACTATTCTAACTAATTTAACTATTTTCATAATTCTCGAACAAAGAGTAAGTTTGAATCTGTCTTCTCGCGACAAATCTAATACTTTACAAATACAAAATTTGTGCTGTTCATACGGCTATTTACTGACAGTGCGGAGG